TTTTCTCGCTGATGATTGCTTTTGCTTTAGGATCTTCATTTAGGCATAGTCCTCGAGTGAGAGGAGGATATGGGGTAGAAAACCTTGTTGGTATCATGGATCCTGGAGGGATTCCTGCTCTGTGAGCACCAGGTTCCAGCCCTACAGTACTGTGTTCAAGCAGATCTGAGCTACAATGGGCAACAGGAAAAAAACTGGGGCTTGGGGTGGTGTGTTTGGGAGTCCAGAAGGGACTGGGACACATTCAGCATCTGCCCTTCTGGGCCATAGAAGGAGTGGCATGACTGGGCTGTGAATGGGTTCTCCTTCCTTCCTCACAAGCATAGAATCATAGAATGGCTTAGGTTGGAGGGGACCTTAAAGGTCTTCTAGTTCCAACCCTTAAGCATTGCTAGTCAAATACGGAGCATTGCCCTGATGGTGGAGAAAGAGAGCAGTGGCGTTGTGCCACGCAGTGCAGAGCTAGCTATTGAAATACAGATCTCCTTAGGAATAAACCTGTGTCTGTCATGTGCCTTCATTGCCCTGTGCTCCTTTTCTTGCAGGATCCACCACTTCGGCCACGAACTCCCCTTCCTCCATTACGAACTCAGACAGCACGGTCACTTTAAAGTCGGAGCCCAGCACAACCTCGCAGTACCCCGGGCCGGGCATTGTGTCGGTGTCCCAGGTAAGGCACAGGAGCTGTGCCCCACGCGCTTCCTTGTGGCTGACCTGGGTGCCCTGATAAGGCCAAGCAATTTGCTCATTGCATTGAGAGGCCACCCAGTGACCCAGTGGGATCAACCCTGGGTGGAAAGCTCTATAGCTCCCAAGAAAAGGCCGTATGTTATCTGTGCTTTAGACCCTAAGGATTTGTTTGGTGGGAGAGGTGTTTCATCTTTCTGGAGGAAAAAGTGGCTCAGAGTTAACCTGCAGATGGGCATTTGGTGCCCTGTCCTGACTTGGTGCAGGGTCTTAGCCCTCTCAAGCTGGACATGCATGCAGGTGAGATTTTTTTGTCCAAAACAGATAAATCAGATCTGTGTTACACTCTTGAAAAATAGACATGTGCCCAGAGATGTCTAAAGCATGCATGTTGCCAATAAATAAGTGCAGACAGGTGCTGGGATGCTTTCTCCATGCTTGCTGGCCTGGTCACCTCTAATTAGCACGATGGATAACATACTGTGCCCATGATCTATCGGAGCCCTGCTACGACATTAGGATAAGCACGATAACGACTTGCTGTCTGACTACACCTTTCCCTTCCCTCTTGGGGCAGGCGCAGAGCCAGTCAGACGAGGCGCTGGCCGGCGGCGAGTTCAAATTTGAGCCGGAGGACTACCCCTTCTCTCCCAGCAGCATGGCCCCGCAGCCAGGGCTGAGCGTGCCGCTGCGGCAGGACTCGTGGTGCGCCCTGGCGCTCGCATAGAACCCCTCGTGCCCGCAGCCTGGCTCACCGCGGGACGGGCTTCTCTTGGAGGATGTGGGAGGAAGACGCCGGCTGGATGGGGTGCCCAGAAAGCTCCTCCCCATCCGAGGAGACCCAGGGTGGCCTCCCTGAGGCTGTCTTTTTTTCCTCCCGGAAAGCTGTCCTCCTTTGAGATGCAACCAGCAAATAAACGCATCCCAGAATCTATGTTTATTCGCAGTGATTTCTCCCTCCTATGACTCCTCTGTGTGCAATTTATTCCACTTTCCAATAAAGACTGTAATAACGTGGCACCGAATAACTTAATTTTATTAAAATGTAAACTGTGTGGCCTCCCTTCTGTTTTATTGGCCACAACAGGGAGAAGAAAAGAGGAAAAAGAAAAGCAACGGTTGTTTTAAACATTTACTGTTTTATATTAAAAACGAACATCTCTATAGAGTGTTAGCTTCTGAAGCATTCAGTGTACCAACACCGAGCTGATGAGTCAGACATGAAATAAACACACCGCTCATCCTTTCCCAGCTCCAAACAAGAATTTTTTTTATTATTATTTTAGGCAAACCACATGACAAGAATGGTTAAAACCACCCAAACAATAAAAGAGTTCCAAAATGCTGTTTTTCTTTTGTATTTCCTTCATGGTTTTCAACTCCAAGAATTAGAAAATCAGAAATGAGTCTTCCAGAAGTTCAGAGGAAGGCTTGAGGAATGGAAAAACAGAGGCTGTGCTGGAGGTACTTGCAGCAGCTTTGGGCATGTTTCAGTGAAGAACTTTCAGCTTTCAGCCCTCTAGGTTAGAGGTTCCTTTTTACCCCTTTTTTTTTTATGGAAAGCCAAGCAGGAATTAATTTCCTGGGGTTGTGCTGCAGCAGAAGATGGCCAGTGATACAAAACCTATGTGCGTTTCCACAAGTTGGCACCGGCGCGTGCCTGCAGTGCTGCTGGGGACACTGGGATCACTTCACTCCTCTGGGTTCCTTTATGAGCGATTATTTGGGATTACATCAGAGCAACCATGGGCTCAGAGTGGGTTTTGGGGCTGGAATCCAAGCGGGGCAATGAGAAGATACAGGGCTTGGAGCTGCAACACGGAGGTGGGCAATGGGGAGAGATGCTTTGCTAGGGGTGCTGGGGTGAGGATGGGACTGTGCTGCATGGAGATGGGTGGGAAATGAAGGGGGAGTGAGGTCATGAAGTTATGTCTAAGGCCTTCTTTATTTGTTATTGCTAAATAAAACCTCCAGCCTGCCTGGACAGCTATTTATGGCCAGGAAACTGTCAAGCAATAGCTCCTTAATATAGAAATTGACCTGTCTAGGGCTTCCTGGAGCAACTCTTCCTCTTGTCAGGAGAGATGGATCGCTTGACTTTTATTATAAACAACAGCTAAAGATGATCAGGGAGAGTGAAATCTGGCATCATGTCGTGACTCATCTGAGATGGAGGAGAGCAGATGCTCTGGGCACTGAGGAGATTGCTCCTTCTGACACCTCCGTATTTCAGCAGTGAGCCCACAGCCAGTCCCTCAATGTGAGAGCATGGGGGGAGTTTCAGCCCATTCTTTTAGCAAAGCCCATTGATGAGAGCTATCTTTGGAGGTTTTCTTCTTGCACCTCCAGAGTTTCATTAGTATCTTCGTAGAGTCATAGAGCCATTGAAGTTGGAAAAGACCACTAAGATCCCCAAGCGCAACCCCAGCCCACTCCACCATGCCCTCTGACCATGTTCCTCAGTGCCACATCTGCACGGTTCTTGAACACCCCTAGAGACCAGAGCACCAACCTCTTCCCTGGGTTCACTGCTACCTTTCCTACCTCTGCAGTGAGAGCTTTGGGCATGTTTCACTCTGAATGTAACCCTCGGGGTTTTCAATGCAGAGCTGAGTCTCTACAAGGTGTGTGACACTAGTCCCAAATCCAGCTCAAACAGTACGCATGAGAGTTGGGAAGATAGTGACATCCTTGTTCATTGCAAGGGAATTGGAACAGATGACCTTTAATGGTCCCTTCCAACTCAATCGATGCTACAGTTCTATGTCCCAGGCTCAAGGGAATGTAGGGTCCCAGCTTGACATGCTGGGACACAGGAAGGAGGAGCCCCGGGTGCAGCATGAGCAATGCTCCTGGGCACCCTCCCAGATCCCACATTCGCCAGCAGCACAATGCAAGCTGCAACAGAATGATTTCTGCGGGCGAAGGCAAGGGGTCCTCAGTTTCTCATCTATGTGACCCTGAGGGGCAGAGTTATTTTAAAGGCAAACAAGAAGACCCAAACAATGCCAAGATGTTGACACCAGTGGCTCCAGCGGTTTTATTTATTGCCTGTTGGTAACCGTTGGCGGGCCGTTGGGATACTCTGGGGCCTGGTGGCTGACAAAATGGGGCAGGGTGACAAGAAGTGAAACAATTGGGATGTATGTAATTTTTCCTTCCTGCACTCACTGGACGGCATCATCCATGAGGCCGGTTTCATGTTTCTCCACGGTCTCTTCCAAAATCTTTTGCTCTCATCCCTCAGGCAGGAGCAGTTTTCTGCCCCTAACAGAAAGTCAGCCCTGCCTGTACAGCCCCGTGGGACAGAAAGAACAAAAAACACATGGGAAACTTGGGGTCTTCTCAGCTCACGCTGTGTGCCCAGACCTGCTCCCACTACCCTGCTCAGCCTCTCTAGGAGTTTGAACATTCAGGATGAGCAGACTGGCCCCAAAACCAAGGGCTGAGAGAACAGGACCTGCAGCTGACCTGGTGGTGTTGGGATACCCATGGGACCCCCTGCAAGGAAGCTGCCCTCTTCTCCCCACCAGGCTGCCACTGCCACGTGTTGTGACCCACCTCATCCCTGCCCACAAAGCTCCAAACAAGGCTGATTAGTAGATTAGTCTGGAGATTGACTTTTATTTCTCCTCCACGAACCTTTCTCCCTCCTGCTGGTGCTCACTCATTCGCAGGCACGTGTGTATTTGCTCTTCTACAGGTTTGGTGGCTTGTGGACAATAATTATCTTTACTGTTGTTGTACAGCTGCCTCGGAGCTATCAATTGCTTTTGTTCAAAGGTCACCTGCCCAGATGATTTTACAACCTGACTACAATGATCTGTTCCATTTTGCACTTTATACCAATGCCACAGTGATTTTTACCAAGTCAGCAAGTGAGTAATGAAGCACTTGAGCCTATGAACACTCCATTCCTGTTTATGATCATATTAATAGCACAATAAAATCAGCACTCACCCAAGCAGTTGCTTTCAAGAAAAAAAAATATTTTTTTATTTCTGCATGGAGAATTGAAAGTTGTGGTTTAATTTCTAAGGGGAACCCCAAAGCTGTGGACTCTCTGATAAAGCACCACTTCTGTATTGAAGAGAAACATCACTTTTTGGGCAAAGAAGTTTTCAGCACAACTTGTGTGGTTCTGTCTGAATAACAAACACTGCTCAGCTGCAGGGAGGTGAGCTCTGGCTGCTCCTCTGCACAACCTGAAGGGCACACCTGAGCCCAGGTGCAGACGTGCACCCATCCATGATTAGGCTGATCTACACCAGCTGAGGTGTGAGCCCATTAAGGTTATAAGGATGAAGGCACACCTTTTCCCTTTGTGCTGTTGATATTTGGCTGTTTTGTGGTGAGCTGTGTGACTCCAAGAGTGTTTTCCTGGGAAGAAGGTGGAAGCAAGGCTGTGAGCCAGGTACAGCAATGCCTATTGGTGTTGAAGGGGGTTTGGTGTCCTGTGGGTGTTGAGTGCTCTGGGAGCTCTTTGTGGCACAGGGAGATGAATTACTGATGCTTCTCAGTCTTTCTCCCTGTTTTTCTCCCATTCTTTTTATTGCAAAGTTGTGGTGTATAACTCAGGAAAACAGCCTGTGTTGCTCTCCTGGTCCATGTGCTGCAGTAATCAACTATCTGTGCTTCTTACATCTATTGCAGTTAACACAGAGCTGAATATTCAATCTCACTATTGTATGCACAATCAAACAGCTCTTCTCCTTTCATCCCCTCAGGTGGTCCTTCTCAGATACGGCTTTGTGGCTGGGGGTGCCAGGAGGCGGTGTTCCCAAAAACCTCTCTTTTTCAGTATGAATTTACACCGAATAACCCAAAAGCCACTTAATGAGGAACAGTGACATCTTCAAAGTGCTTCCAGGAAGCTCCTCTAGGGGAAACTTGGTGAGAAGCACCACATACCAGAAAGGCTTTTGTTACAGGGAGCATATCCCCATAGCCTGATGTCCTCATACATTGCTGTTTTTTCCAAAACCTCAGCTTTCCAGTAGTAAAACTTCTATCCAACAGTACCACCAGAGTTAATGTGCCATGGAAGTGAACTGTGTTGAGAAGAAAGGAGGGGACCAGTGGTCAACTGTTTCTATGGTCAAAACTGGAGGGAAAAAAAAAAAAAGGCCCAAGCAGCTCAACCCCCAGTGCCCTAATGATGCTGGGAATATAGGCATTAACCAGCCATTTTCCTGCTCTTGCAGGCTGTCTTTACTATTATTGGGAAATGCATTGTTATTGGAATTCAAAGAAACTTTTACTGTGAACAGTTCCACTGCATCATTAAATGTGGCTGAGAGAAGACTGACTACTGTGTTTGATAGTATCAGGGCTTGAACTGCCTTCAGGGCCATCTCCTTTGCTGGCATTGAATCTTTGTCCCACCTCCATCTCTTACCTTGTTATCAGGTTGCTGTTTGCATTTCCTGGTAACTCTGATCCCCCATTCCACCTCTGCTTGCATTTTCCTTAATGTGGGACTGCCTAGAGTCTGAACGAGAGGTGGGCACAGATGGATGCAGTATGGGGCCCTAATGTTGCTATTACTTCAGGTGTTGGTATTATCCTTCCCATCTGTTCACTCTTTGCTTGTAATAAAGGAGAATAGCTCTGACTTGTGGAATGAATGGAAATGATGGGCATTTAGCTGCAGGAGCCTACAGTTAACATCTGGCTGCAGTGCAGCGCTCAGGCTCCTCTTAGTGCTATGGCCCCTGTGAGCAGGGCAGGGAATTGTGTTGGGGAAACCATCCCTGTGTGCTGGAGCAGGACTAAGGGGAGCGGCGAGGTGAAGCTGGCTGTGTTAATCATTTACTTTGAGAGCAATGGAGGCTAGAGTAGAAGTTCTGTGTATATAAAGATCTGCAGGGATAAATGCGAAGCAGGGAAGCTGCTGCTCAAAGGGCACAGTGAAGTGGCCTTTTGGGGAGGGAGTTTACTCAGATTCACCTTTGTTTGCTCTGTGGGAGTGCTCTGTCACCACTATGGGATGGTATGGACTGGGACTGCTGGGTGACTGCCAGTTCTGAGCCTGACCTTGACAGCTTTGACCCAATTAATGATCAGCATTAAGCATGAGTGGAAAGATAATGAGGGTGATGGCTAATGGTGGGTGTTTGGGGATAATAATAGTGTTTATGCGCCCTTCTCTCTCTGTATAAATTCACCAGGAGGGTCAAGATATTCTTTTCTGTGTTTTATGTTGTTTAAAACATACTGTGTCCTCAGAAAAATACATACATACATCATTATGATATCTGTATTGTTACATAAAATACATCTGATAAGGCAGGAGCTTCAGGTCCACTTGGGATTCACTTGGTATTCAGGTATAGCTGAACACATTGGCATTGCCTTCTACTGTTACAAGGGAAAAATACAGGCTGCCACTCCTCCATCAGCAAGTCAGTGTCAGCCAATAGCAACTGACATTTCACCACTTTCATTTGGGGTTACTGGTGCTCCAAAGTTAGGGCTTTCTGCAGGAGCAAATCCTTCCTGTGTGCTAAGATGCAGAATCCCATGATAAAAAGAGAAGAGGAAACTGTTCTTGAATCTATTTCTCTTGGTGCATCCCAAAGATTGCTCCAAATCCAGTCCTGTGTCCACGTGACAGGTTTGGTGAGCTAAGCCTCACTTGCCAGCTTCGCTCTGTGCTCTACATTCAGAGAAAAGGTACCTTTGGTGTTAAAGACAGCTCTGCAGCATAGAAAAGTCATATGATATATTGGAGAAAGATGAGGTCCCAGGAAAGCTGCTCCCTAATTCTCCATCCCTGCAGAAACTTGGTCTCATCAGTATTCCTGTGGTGGGTTTTGCTCCATTGCTCCACGCCCAGGAGTGATTGACATTGTCTTGAGCTTTGCTTTTAAATCATGTGGCTATGCCTCATATTAAAATATGATTAGAAAGAATTTATCAACTTGAAATATTAATAATGGATAACTCATTTCCAAGCAGCAAGCTGTAATAGCAGGATGCTGCCTTGGACGGGCTCTGCTCTGAGGCTACTGACTTTGACATTGCTCTTGCCCTTATCTTTAGATGCAAATGCAGCTCTTGTCCCCAGCTTGTTTTCTTTCTCTGGACACCTTTTTTTTTTCTTTTTTTTTTGGAGTTGGTGTCTCTCCAGCAGGGTGAATGGCCATGAGCTCAGGGAGAGAAGAGCTGCCTCTGTTCCATCACCTTGAGGTCCTGTGGTTGGGAAAGCGCAAGCAGCACTTGGGTGCTGACGGAGGCAGTGCTTGACGTGTTTTGCCTCCTTCCATGGAGGCTTTACTGCATCTGGATCATAAAGGGGAAAGCATTGCGTTTCTGGTTTTGGGCATGGCACCCAGGAAGGCTGGAGGCATCCCTAACTGCTTTGAGATGTCCTCAGCACCTCCAGGTTTTGGAAAGTTTCCTTGCTTGCCTGGAGTGTTCTATCTTGATTTTTCTTTTTGAAGTGAGTAGTTGCTTTAAAATGAAGAGACTTCCTGGTTTTTCCCTTTCTGGTTTGCTTTTCCCTTCTGGCTTGGTTTGTGCATCACCAATCATTTGTAGTGTCAATAGGCCTTGTAACATAACCACAAAATCAGTTACATCTGGAGTGTGCTGAGCGAGGTCACTGGGGACAGAGTTTCTTTTTTAAAGGCAGCCTGAATAAATGGCAATCGAGCCCTACTGCATTTCAGGAGGCAAAAGCCAAAACCATAATAGCATTTGTGTTTTCCAATTAAAATAACTGTTCGTCTACTCTTGCACTGAAATTCAGTTTTTATTTTTTTTATTATTTTTTTTTTTCAGAGGAAAACAAGCTGGGGATTGACCCATGCTTTGTAGGAAATTGGTTTGGAATTTGCTTATCTCTTCATCAGAAACCAAATCTAAACAAAACCAGAATCTGATTTGAGGCTTATAAGCTTTTTAGCGGAGTATGTGAATGCTTGAATTTCCCACTGGATCCAGTAGTGGATTTATAATTTTTTTAATAAAAAAGCCATACCTGATAATTCCATAGTGCTGCTTAACCAGGAAACCTGGGGACTTCCTTGGGAGGTTTCTCGGAAGACTGACACGCTTTTATATCAACCACCAATGCCTGTTTTTGAGGTGTACAATGGACTGTAGAAAACACCATGAACATTTAGGTTATTTTTCTATGCTGGGTCAGGCTGCCTAAATGTGTTGATTCATTAAGCATGCTGCGTTCCTGCTAATTGCCAGCTTGGGTTTAGGCTTCGGGCAGTTCTGAGCATGTCCTCGAAGCGGAGCCTTATCTCGAAGCTTCCTGAGTCTGTGGAATTGAATGAAAGTCTCACCAGGAAAAGTGGTTTGTTTTGCTTTTGGTTTGTTTTGTAAGAAAGCAGAGAGTTTCCCTTCCCAGCCAAGTCTGAGTGACCACAGAAGCTCACACGTTTCAGCGCTTCAATCTTTCAGGCTCTCCAGACTCCTGAAGTTCTAAATTAAAAATAAATAGAAATAAAAAGATTCCAGCCAGACACTTTCAGTCCTCCATTGAGATCAGGTGTTAATTCAGATGTGATTTGAATAGAGGCTGTGAATGCACAGCCCTTCTCCCAGATCACATTCTTCCCTTCCCTAGGGAAACTTTGTCCAAAATGAGGCACAACGTCAGCATTAAAAATATTTTTTAAAATATAATTTTTAATATTTAAAAAATCAACCATCTGGGCAGATCTGGCAGTGGGATGGTTTCATCACACACAGCTGTAAGATAGTTTGGCTATTTGGTATACCTGGAACCAGGTTCAAAAGTCCCATTTGGGGATTTCTTGCAGAGGAAAAGGTCAAATGATAAACATTTTGGGATGAAGTCATCAGCATTGCAGCTGGAAGTTTCTGTGTTAGGACTTAGGGTTTCATTGTCATATACATAGTGCTGCTGAGTATAAATGCAGAATGACCCAGAAATCCAAAGAAAATAAGGCTGTTTGGCAAGTCTGTGCTATGAAACTGGTAAAATGTTTAATTTCTGACTTCCAGGCTTGGTTCCCTGAGCCTGTGGTGATCTGGATGCTTTTTGGTATAATCCTGATGTGGATGGTCATCTGTCATGTGTGTGTTTTGCTGGTGATGGAGCTGAGCTGCAGTGAGGCAACAGGACATGCCAAAGATTGAATGAGAGGTCAGTGGCAGCAGTGGCCCCAGCTCTTGGTCTCTGGATTTTGTCATGGAGGTAAAGCTTGGCTTGTGTTTCAGAATTGCAACTGGCTGGTGGGGTTGGCCAGCAGGCACAGAATCATAGAACAGAATAGCTCAGGGTGGAAAAGATCTTAAGGATCATTGAGTCCGACTGGAAGGGACATCAGCACGGGGTAGTCATGCTGATAGAAACCAATCTGCAAACCTGCCCTGCCCCTTCTGTGCTCCCAAAGCAATGGGAACTTCACTTGCTACATAAGGGCCTGGAGGGTACTGATATCAGGATGGTGGTGCCCAATATCTAAAACCTAATCTACATACACATCTGCCTCCATGGGATATTTCTTTTTTTGCACGTAAAACTATTCCCTAACAAGTGGGAATCCAATCCTCTGTACAGTAGTCTTTCTCTCTAAAAGAAGTAATTTAACGAAGGTCCTCCATCTCAGTACAGGATTTAGTTGGGGAGGAAAATAAACTAAATTTGGAAAACAATTAGTAACAATGTTGCCTTAATTTAACAACAGCTTTTATTAGATTGCACTTGTCCAGTGAGATTAATGGGCATTTTCCTTTGAAACTCTGGGAGTCTTTCCTAGACACTGGGAATAAGTAGGCTCCTTCAAATGTTCTGCTTCCTACAGGATTTACTGGTGAAAGATTTAATACAATTCAGCACAAACATTTTAACCTTTCCATCTAAAACGCTGAATTCAACCGTTTCCTGAATGTGTATAATTTAAAGGCTTGTGTTTTCCTGTGTCATGCTCTCTGAAGCATTTTATGTCGCCTTGCTCCTATTGACTCTTTTAAGAAAACACTGCGTAAGTATACAGTCACTTTCAGATAACTCAGATGTTTACTTTATGAATGAAGGAGGAAATTGAATACTCAAATAAAGTTATGCATCTAAGTGCCAGAAGCTAACTGCCCTCTTAAATTTGCTTGTCTTCTTGAAAGAGCCTTTAAATACAATTTATGGTGTAAAGAGCTTTTCCGCACTCAGCGCTGAGGAGGAGCTCCACTGACACAGTTATAAATGGATGCTCTCAGCAGGGATCTCCCATACAGGGATGCTTATAGGGCAGGGACTAATGCTCCTTTAGGAACATGTGTGCATCCTATTGATCTGGTATGGGGCTCATGTCAGGGTGCCTGCAGAATTTGGCTACAGCTCTCCTGCAGGCATGTGGCTTGTTCATAAGCTCATCACTTGGCACAGGATTCTTCAGGTCCATGTCTGAGCACAACCTTTTGACAGGTATTGTTTTATTTATGGAAAGAGAAAAGATCGTGGAGTCCCTTTGGGTCTGTCATGTTGCAAGGATTTGGTTGCAAGGTGAGCAAATAGGGCTTACTTTCGTATTCAGTGAGACTCAATGAAGGCTTCTGTCCTTTGGCTCCATGTTCAGGTACCAAAACTCACTCCTGGCTGGAGGAGAGTGGCTATGAAAAGCCTACTGCTGCTTTCTGATGTCTGTGTTCAGAAGCAGGGTCTTGGGCCAGGTTCTATGTTAGCCAATGACCTTTGAGCCAAGGACTATGGTTATCTGCAGCCTGGGTGGAGGATGGAGGCATTACCCATGGAGGAGTTATGCCCAATCCACTCTGATTTGTTCAACTTTGCTGGATTCTCATAAATTCTTATTGGCCTTGGAATATTTGATTTTATTTTTTTTCTTGGAGATCCAGCTTCTAGTTTTGTTATTGTCTAAACCTGTGCTTCAAAAAGGAATCAGTTGTCTCCATGGCTAAGAGCTTGGATCATGCTTGCCCAGCAACATGAGATGGAGCACCAGGTGACTGCACTGCTGGCTCAGTGTCTTGGATAAAGGCTATGGGTTTGGAGGGGTGAATCCAGCCATGAATCCAGATGTACTAAAGCAGGATGAGCTCTGAGGTGTGCCTGCAGGGAGAGTTACTGGGCTTGCTGCTCCTTGTTCTGCACCCAAAGAGGAGAGCAGTGAGAGTGCCCTGTTCTCCCAGAGACACTACTTTGTGCCATGTGGAAGCTGGGATTGGCAGAATAAACTGCAAATAATGGTTATTACAGGATATATGGAAGTACTGAACTAAAAATATGAGGTCCCTGAAAACTCAAGCAGGCGTGAGAGCAGAAACCCAGATGTGAGTGTGCCGGAAGAGAGGAATGGAACTGAAGAGTGGATGCGTGGAAGAAGAGGTGGCCTTCCTGTTATAAGGAAGACTTTAGGGTATTGAGGAGCCCCAGAGAGCCTCTTCTGAGCACTTTCCACAAGGCAGAGGACAGAGGAGGAGTCCTGGACTCCTCTCAAAATCCCAAATACCTGTGTTGGAGCAGAGGTGTGCTTGGGCCACACAGCAGGTAGAGGCAGCCCTGTGAGCCAGGCAGAGGTCACCCCCAAGGTCCCATCTGTCCCCCGGCACTGCCAGTGGGATCCCTATCGCACGCTAATATTGGATTATGATCGCGAGCCTCCACAATGTCACACTGATAACAACAAGGTTTTTCCCCAGTACGAGCCTGTTTCATTTTGACACGTAGGTATGTCAAGTGAAGGGAATATTTTCCCTTCTGCATCAGACTCCAACTTCACTGAGGTCAGTCACAGGAGCGTGTGTGCAAATGTCAAGGCTGGCAAGGATTGCGGGTGAGGGTAGAGGGCATTTGTGAGGCTGTGGGGAAGGGAAGGTGGTCCTCAGTGTGAGTCAGATAGTGGTGAAGGCAAGGCTGGTATTGAGACCTGCCTGGCTCTGTATTTCAGAAGTTACTGCGAGGGCAGCTAAAGCCCAAAGAGTTCCCAGCTTTCCTAGCTTTAGCTACGCAACGCTCCTGGACCAGTCTGGAAGAACAACCTCCCTCTACATTCTTAGGTTCTTCTGACATGACGAAGAGTTTGACATTAGAGGATGTCATGTCTCCATTTACTGTGTCCATCAGTGGCCAACGTGAAGAGTTCCAAAGGCAGAACTGAACCAAGAGGTCATGGTGAAAGCAGTTCGCTTAGTTGGATGGATGAGAAGGCTCTGCCACAATTCTGTACAAGAGCTTCCATCAGAAATTGATGTTGTCTGACCAGAAGTATCCTAGGGACTGGGACTCTGCTTCCACTTGAATGTTACCTGTGTGCATCCAAATCAAGTCTCCTCTGAGGAAGGAGAAAAGTGGCAGTCAACTGAAGGAGAAAACACAGTGATAAGAAAAAAGCAGCTTTGTGTTGGGACCTCTGCTATCCAGAGCTGGTTCCCATGCAAACATTATAATTACCTTCTTGCTTCCTCTGAGCCCAAGGGTACCTGGGGGAGAACACAGTGAAGACAGTGGGATCCTGAGGAAGTGCAGCAGCATCCCTTGGGCTCTAATTCATGCACTGAAATGCACAAATGCAATCACAACTTGTTTTTCAGCAGGAAATGACCAAGCAACACCTTTCCAAGCCTCCGCAAGATCTATGTATATATGTATGTGTGTGTATGTATACACACATACATATATATGGTATATGTATATCCAAGTCAAGTCAGTACTGCCCACTGAAATGTCAGTGGACGATAGTAACTAAAAATAGGCAAAACCAGGAATTTGTCTGTAATATTTTTAAAATGGGAGGATGGCAAAGCTATATATGTAATCTCAGAATCTGTAAGGGTTGGGGGGAAAAAAAATGGGCCTAGTTTTTTTCAATGAGGAGAAGAAAGCGCTGTCACTTAGCAATGTATGGGCTTGATGCAGGCATCGTTCCAGTGCCCTCCTAGGGTGCTGCATGTTCTGGGGCCACTGTGTAATAGGAGCAAATGCTGTATTATAATGGCACTGACTGCAAGTGGGGATTTTAGACCTTCTCCAGTTTGTTGTTTCACTTAGAAGTGGATGGTGTGGAGGATAAAGCTGTGATCAGCGTCACATAGGAAATATCTCGGGCACCAGCTGCTGCTTGGCTTTCTGGTTCACGGCATCACGCAAGTCCTGCCTTTGCCTTCAGCCCTCCAGTTTATGCCTGGCTGGTCTGGAAGCCTCTCCTCAGGCTGCTCCTTAGAGGGCGAAGGAGACTTGAGGCTGCTGCTCCCTCTGCTGACTCTGCCGTGAGTGCTGTGCGCCCGGCAGGACGAGGGCAGCGGCCCCGGTACCGACGCTGCTGCTTCGGTCGGCGCTCCGAAGGGTGGTTTGCATTACAGCAGCAGGGAGATAAAAAGCAAATAGGAGGTTGAGCGTTTCTTCTTTCTTTATGCGTTTCTGTGACAAAGCATGATTTTTATCCAATAATGTAATAATTTTTAAAAAAACTCAGTGAGGATCCATTCTTGCACCAATGCAAACTTTGCCTTTGAATTTAACAGGAACATGCTGCAATCTGCAACTAGAGCCCTTTGCTTTTTCTCCTGTAGATCTCCTTAATCCTTTAGCAACTATGTGCGTTTTCCAAAGAGGTTTTCTATATATCCCAGGGGAACAAAATCACAATGGGAAAGAAGTTCTCCTTATAAACTGTGACCGACTGCAGTCTCCCTCCAGCCCTGCTGGTAACGCCCTGTGGATATTTGCTTCTCAGAGATTAGAGGAACAAAGCGAGAAGAGAGCAGCGTTCCATTATGGTAGAGTATATAATATTGTGATTATTAATCATACCCCTCCAAATAATTAATCATTTTTGGTGTGTTATTTGAAGACAAACAGGGCCTTTAGTTCATTATCGCTTATACATACATAGAACTGGAGTCACATCGGTGCTGTCAGACGTGGTTAATCCCTGCCTGGGTTTTGTACATGTCTGGGTATCTGAATCATGTACATGGCAAATGATCTACTAATATGTTTGCTCCACCAGTTTGTTCATATAGAGCCAAATATATGAAAGCATTCAAGCTCCGGAAAGGGCAGATATGGTCCTAATGGAGTTGACAAAGGCATCTAATGTTAAGGTTGTGGAAAAAAAAGGGCTTGCTGATGAAATTCTGCTTTATTATTTGACATGGAGGGACACGGTTAGTGGGTGTGGTGGGGGTGGGTCGGTGATTGGGTTTGGTGATCTTAGTGGTCTTTTCCAGACTTAATGATTCCATGATTTACATTTTATACTGCTTGATGATTTGAACTGGAAGGCTTGAAAGGCAATCAGGAAAACTTTGAGCTCTATAAAAATAGATTCTGGAGGTAGAAACATTAATTTAAACTAAAGCAGAAGGAAGGAATGATGGCTGAGGTTCAGTGTCTCGTGGTAGCCAAGAATGGGAGGCAGGTGATGAGCTGCAGCTCAGCTGGTTCACAGATCACAGCAGCCACTTGGCTGCCCAGGTACCATCTCATGTTGTCATCCTGCCTGTGTGCCCCACCAGCACAGCTGTCCTCATTCTTCCTCCCAGCACAGCGCTTTGTCAGGCTGAAAACTTGGGCCATGAATTTTAAGACATCCTTACAAGAACAGAGTCTGTTTTCAGGCTCAGCACTTGGAAGACTTTGCGTGAAGACCGTAACATTTTGATTACAAGTGATATAAAATGCCGTTTGCTTTATTTCCTAATTAATGACAGTACATAAGGCAACAGTAAACTCAATTGCTTCCAACAGCTTTTTATATTCACTCGGAGGCATTTTCAAAAATATGACTCGTGTACCCAGCAAAATCTTTCCTTGACCAGATGTAGAAGGAAAGCACTTTTATTGACTCCATGATAATATCGCTAAAGAGGAAACAAGCTATAAAAATAAAAATTAAAAAAAAAAAAAGACATAATTTGAGAGTTGCTGAAAGATAGAGAAACAAATACAGGAGAGATAAGAAGGCTTTTTACTGATAGTGTGTCCTGTGTAAATAATGCAGACACTGAAAAAGTCCCTTTGCAACGAGACTCATTAGAAACACGTACGCTGGCCCTGAGCAATTACTTTGATTGTTCCCCAGCTGCTTCTCACAACAAATGTCCGCAGACCCACCAAGGTTGCAACCATATTGCTGGCTGCGTGTCCTTGCAGATATATGGCCATACTGAAACCAGATAAGTGCAAGTTTGTTGCTTTACAGGCCAGTTTCGGGAGGAGTGCTAGCCTGGGGCAGTAGGTTAAACAAGCACCTACAAACAGGTAGAAAATGAAGCATCCACTTCCATTGGGAATGAGTATGACCCAAGTGTATGCTGACACGCAATTGCTGAGCATGTAGATGTCATCTTGGATTTGAGTTGGTGAAGTGTGGGCGCTCTTGAATTGTAATGAAATCTTGTAGGCCGTGCCTTTCTGGCCTTCAAAGCCCTTCACTAAGAAGCTATAATTAGAAAACAAAACCACATTGGAAGAAACGAACATGGGAAGTTGCAGCCTTTGGCACCATGATAGAAGTATAATGACGGTAAGCTAAAAGCCAATCGGAGCAAAAAATACATATGCTGAGGACATAATTGACTTTGTATTTGTAATGTGAAAGTAAAGAGGTGAGTAAATGATACCAGGCAAGCAGAAAGACTAAAGCTAACTTAAAGTGATAAAATTTCATGGTAGCATGGAGAAAGATGAGCAGTGGGAGTTAAGATGTAACAAGGCAGTCAAAAACATCTGTATGTAAATGCTTCTGAGTTACAGAAACGCTCCTTTCCTTTCTCCTGGTATCTCAAAATTCCTTTATTCTCTACACGTTTTCCAGAGAGGTTGGGCAGAGTCACCCAAAGCCCTCCTCTGGAGAAGCAGAGCAGTTGTTGCTTCTGCGGACAACATGGTGACTATACTGCTGTGGAAATTAAAAGAGAGACACCTTTGGAAAGGCTGGAAAAAAGGATTCCCAGATAAGGCATAAAAAAACATCTTGAGAAAATGAAAGGGAAAGCAAAGAGGCTGCTAACATTTTCTCAAATCCCCTTTCTTTGCAACAACATAATCCTCACAAATGAATCAGAGCATGTATTTGCTCAAAAGAGTTAATCTTTATTAACAGCCCCAGAATGCCCTTCAGCTCATGTACAACCTGGTTCAAAGGTTTTCAAGAAAAACAACATACCATAAACCAAAGGGCAGCACTAATTGGAAGCAATGTAATGTCTTTGAAAACAGTAATAGCCTCCTGTGGGTTAATAAGCGGAAATTAAATTTCGTGTATGTTAGCATAACCCATCACAAAGTACCAGGTGAAGCAAGGGGCACAGGCAGTAAGGATGGGGTTTGGAGTGCACACAGTCACTATCTTAGAGTAACCCCCGTTCCTTGGACTAAGTTGGGATTTCCAAAGGATTTGTCTTCAGCCTGGTTGAAGGAAATATTTTGCACAACGTGGCCCCCATTTCTGCTTTGGTGGTGAGATGAGAGTGGAAAATCTTTGAAGAGGAAGAACGTGAATTTTTTAGCCCTTAAAAGCAATCTTGGTGTCACTCTACCTTTGTCCTGCCACGTGGAACCCAAGCAGTGGTGCAGCATTGCTGTGACTTTGACTTGCACCTGCAGTTTGATGTTGTCTAGCTCTAGTGCTCAGAGCTCAGTGGTGACCTTCAGGGCTTGCCTTCTGTGCTGGGTATACAAGTGAAGGACTAGTCCCACAAATGGGTAGTTTCAATGTTAAAATGTCATGAAATAGAGTACATAGAAATGCATGCTGGGAATGAGTTGGCTAATGATGGCATTGCCTGAAATGGCGACGGCTAATATTTGGACTGCAGGGTGTGTTGTCTCTTATAAGGAAATGGCTTAATCTTGGAAAGGAGGCAGAAATACAAGGTCAGATCCTCACTCCTCTGCCCTCATTTCCTCTTCTGGCTGTGCTGGCTGCTCAGAATCTGCTGAGGAATCAAGAATTGAGCGTCTTTGAGGCTGGTGTCTGAGATGTCTCCCAGTGGGAAATGTTACAGTGCAAACCCAACCCAGGGCACTGACAGCTGTCAGGACTGTGGGCAGGGATGCTGGAAAACCTCTCGTCAGTGATGTCTTGCGGGTAGCATGGTTTCTCTGCCCAATGTAAAGGTCAGTCAAACTCACCACAGGTGATTACAGTGTTTGGTTGGAAGTACGACTACTCACCGTCTGCATGACTGGGAGTTTGGTTTTGAATATGTGGCCTCAGATATTTATTGTGTCTTCAGTAGCACTCCCTGTACCTGGAGGTTCCTTCGTAATAAGGCAGAGAAACATGCTGTTATTTGCCTTATTTCCAGCTGTTGGTGATTAAGACAAAGGATGAGAAAACCTGAAAGCCCACATATGCTTGGGCAAGAGAAAAGCACCTCATGCACAGCATGGGTTGTGGAAGGATGGAGATGGCCCTGGAGGAGGAATGACTCTTTGTGGCCACAAACCATGAGAAAGCCCTTCCCCAGCTCTCCTCACAGCAAGCTGCTGGTTCTCGGGTTCTATTTTATTTCTGCCTGTCCCTGTGTTTGTGAGACTTCTTGTCTGTAGGCCTCTCCC